CAGCCACATTGTGGAGCAGGTGGTCTGCCATCCTCAAAGTCCACTAATTTAAATACTGAGCTCCAGAATAAAGTTTGACATAAGATTCAGGCACCGTGTCCCAGCCAAGTTGAACAGATAAAGTTGTCAGCGCAGACCCCAAGCCAAACCTTTCTAGATAAGCTGCTTCCAGATTCTGATTCAGAAACTGTGGGAATAAAACATTCTTTTAAGCCTCAGAACTTTAATGTTTTCTGAAATAGCTTGCCACCTCTCGCTTTATGTTAGCCCATTCTAACCTTTAGACCGCCTGTTTCTGTTGTCTGGTTTCTAGTTGTCTTGATTTATTTGCATTTTCTGTTTATTAGTATGTCCAGTGATTTATATCATACACTCTATACTGTAGGGAGTTGGGTATTGCTTTCCTATAAAGGATGTCCCTGAAGGCACTCAGAGGCAAAACTCAGAAAAACCCATCTTAAAATTCTTGGAGCTGGAAAAATGGCCAGTGGTTAAGAGCATTGGCTGCTTTTAGAGAGGACCCAACACCAACATAGTAGCTCACAACCATTTGTGACGTGAGTCCCAGGGGATCCAAGGCCATCTCTGGCATACACGGGGTACACAGCCATACAGGCAGGTAAACCCCCATACATGAAAATACCTGGTTTCGTGTTTTTATCAGCGTTTAGAGTTGTTTACCAGAGGAGGGCTGGGCTGGCATCAGTTAGTCTCTGTGGCTGGAAAGGGAAGCCTTGCCCATGAACTTTGAAAGTGTATTCTATAACGTATTACTGATCACTCTTGGGACTTGGCCTCCAGGCTGTGGAATGTAATTAATGGTGGAATTGCAGCTCACAGGCTCTGCCTCATGTCGGCTCTCCTGGCTGCTGCTCTCTGTCCTGCCACTGATAATCTTGGGATGTACAACCACTCCTTTTTCATACCGTGCTGCGGAGTTACTGGTTGAGCTATGAAGCCATCTTACCTACAGCCATAGCTGAAGTGACTTCACGTAGAGACTCAGCCGCCTGCACTGTCACACCGTGTCGAAGCCCGCACCGGTGACTGGAACCAGTTTGTCCCAAAGCTCCAGGCTTATTTCATCTCCAGAACACTGTATCTGGAGGTGAAGGTTTCCAAGTTGTGCCCTCTCTTTTCTTTTTTTCTGGAAAACTTTAAAAAATGCCTGCCTGTTGTCTTCCCATGGTAACCAGCCTTGCTGTTCTGTCCCCCAAGGCTGTGTGTGCGTGAACAACAGCTCAGGGCAGGATCGTTTGTTAGCATTCTTGGTTTATTCAGTAATTGGCCGTCCAACCCTCTTGTCACCGCTTCTAGGAAAGAAACAGGACGTTCTGAGAACTGAGCAGCCCCACGGTGTGCCCGCTGGCACACGCCCTTCCAGACCACTGCTAACCACTGCCGTCCTTTTATAGAAGTGATTTATTGGTTTTCCTTGTAATTTTATCACTCAATATATTTCCAAACAGCTTTATTTCTTTTGCAATTTTACATAAATTCAGTCACAAAATGGTATCTGTTTGTCTTGCTGCTTTTGCCCAGTGTGTTTTAGAGACTCTATGTTACCACCTACAGATAGATGTAGTTTCTTCTTGGTGCCTGTGATGTTAACTGTTTGGTTTTTTAGGGGTACCATTGCAAGCACCAAAGCCCACTTGCATTTAACAACAGAAATCCACTTGCTCACAGCTGTGTGAGTCACAAAGTCCAAGATGAAGGTGTCCTGGAAGCCAGATGTGATGCATGTGGGGATCTCTCCCGGATGAGAGTGCTTGTGATCCAGAAACGTGTTACTAGCAATAGAAGAAAGGAGAAAAGGAAGCTTTGCGGAGAGCCAGCTTCTCTACAACAGAGAGATGCTTCTGGATGCAAGGAAGGAGTGACGAAGGAGAAAGGGACACAGGCAGAAAGAGGTCCTCTGGGAGCACAGGGGCCACCTTTCCTCATTCCTTTGATGGTCTGGTGTTTCTGGTCAGTGTGGTAGATGACTTTACCTTGAAGGGTATGAGAGACTAGGTACATCTTGGTCAGATTAACCCTGAATTATAGTTCTGGACAAAATATTTTTCTAACAACCAACCTGTCTGTGTGCAGGGCAGGTGGGATCTGCTCAGAGCATAGGACAGCCAGGAGGAGGGCCACAGGATGAAGGCAGAGATGCCAGGCCTTCTCATCCTGTTCTAGTCATGGCTGTCCGCGGACCCAGGAGAAGACAGTATTTCCTTCCAAAGCGCCTGCCAAGGAAGGGAGCCGAAGGCCCTGTCAACAGTAGCGCCCTGGTACAGGTGCTCGCCAGCAGGGCTGCTGAGAGGCGTGACCCGGGTGGGTCTCCCCAGAATTCATGCTGTTTAGTCTCCTGAGCAAGTGAGGAGACGGTTGTGATCCTCAGAACCAAGGCTGTGTACCCCAGCTGGGTCTCCCCAGAATTCATGCTGTCCAGTCTCCTGAGCAAGTGAGGAGACAGCTGTGATCCTCAGAATCAAGGCTGTGGAGTCATCTTTAACTCCGAGGTCCTCTCTGCCTGGTAGATGCCACCTTCCTCTGGTGTCTACACATGGCCTTCCTCCTGAGTAGGTCTGTGTCCTCACCTTTTAAGAAGAGCATTGGTTATATTGGGTTAGGACAGACCTGTGTGACCTCATTTCATCTTTTAAAAAACCTCTGTCACCAAGTGCGGTCACGTTCCAAGGACTTGGAGTTAGGACTTCAGTATAAGAAAATTTGGGGACATGGTCTCGTGCTAATGGGCATCTGTAGCTAGAGTTTTCCTGCCTGGCCCACAGTCAGGACAAATTTCTCTCACCTGCCAGTCCCACAGCTGTCAGACCCAACCAAGTAAACACAGAGACTTATATTGGTTGCAAACTGTATGGCCGTGGCAGGCTTCTTGCTAACTGTTCTTACAGCTTAAATTAATCCATCTCCATTCATCTATACCTTGCCACATGGCTCATGGCTTACCGGCATCTTTACCTGTGGCTTGTCATCATGGCAGCTGGCAGTGTCTCTCTGCCTCAGCCTTCCACTTCCCAGCTCTATTCTCCTCCTTGTCCCGCCTATACTTCCTGCCTGGCCACGGGCCAATCAGTGATTTATTTATTGACCAATCAGCAACACATTTGACATACAGACCATCCCACAGCAGGCATCCCTAATTCAAGCATTGTCTTCAGGTTAGCTTCTCCTCTGGCCCTCTGTCATATGTGGTGTGTGTGTGCGTGTGCGAGCGAGTGCTGTGCACGCACCCCTGGAGGCTGGAGGTTGGTGTTGGGTGTCCTCCGTCACTCCTTATTTATTTTGAGACAGGGTCTCTCAGTAACCTGGGGCTCATTGACTGAGTAGACTGGCTGGCCAACGAGCCTTCAGATCCCCGTTTCTGCCCCCCCCCCCCCCCATTTTGATGTGGGTGCTAGGGATCCAAACTCAGGTCCTGATGGTTTCATGGCAAGCAGTTTGCCTGCTCAGCCGGCTCTCCAGCCCCAGTACTCCTCTTTAAAAATATGTATCTCGAGAATTCCCCTAAGATCATTAACTGCTTTCCTGGTTATTTTCTAAAATGCTTATAATTTTACATTTATTTTACTTGTAATGTACTGACACCGATTTTCCTGTATATATGAGGGATGTATATACTGGATCTCATTTCCCCTGAGAAGAGGTTCACATTTCCTATTGCCTGAACCACCTGTTATAACCCGGAGTCTAACTCTGCCTCCCTCCCGTTTCTGCCCACTGACGTGTTTGTCTCCACAGTGTCCACTGGCAGGGCCCTGTGGCTTTGCAGGCCATCTTATAAATTGTTAGCAGCAATGCTTCCCACTTCGCTGTTCTTCCAGAACATCTCGGGTGTTCTTGGTTCTCTCCATATGCATACACATTTTAGAATCTGCCATCAGATTCTATAAACAGACCTCTTCAGACTTCATGGAAGTGCTCTGATGTTCTGAATTGGGGGAAGGATTGAGTCATGAAAGAGAGAACTAATAGAAACGAACCTGTGGGGTCTGACTTTAACGGGAGGCGATGACGGGATGTGGTGTGACTGCAGGGTGAGGTGGGTTAGAAGCCAGGAGGCCAGGCAAACAGGGACATTGACTTTGAATTGTGTTTCAGGTACTACTTAGACACCACTGTTGTATTTCCTAATAATAGTGAAAAATCTGGATATGTCTTTGCTCTCAGGGACGCATGCTCATGACTGTGTGGAGCCAGCTCTCAATTCACAGGTGTGTGTGGAGGGGAGAAGGAGACAGGGTAGCACTATTAGCAACCAGTGAATTTTGAGGAGAAGTAAAGGACTTTTTTCCCTGTGTATTTAAAATTTTTCAAAATAACAGTGGAGGAAGATGAAATTTATTTTGTATCTTAGGAAACAGAGAGCAAGGTAACCTGTTACGGTCTGTCACAACTGCAGAGCGCAGTGTCGAGTAGCTCAGTGGAGAGAGCCCTGTCCGCACCAGCCCTGGGAGGGAGCCATGCCGGCATGCCGCAAGTGTCTCTGGACTAACTCTCTCAGTAGAAACTTCACTACGTGTATTGTGTCACATGCATGAGTGCCTGTGGCCAGACTGTGGTGTCAGACCCCCTGGCACTGGAGTGACAGCCGGTGTGAGCCCCACGTGGGTGCCGGGAACTGAACCCGGGTCCTTTGCGAGAGCAGCCAGTGCTCTTGACTGCTGAGTTCTCCCTCCACCCCTCTGCCCCACCCCACCCGCCCCTAGATGTTTTTACTTAGAAGCAGTTCTGGCTTTGGAATACAGTGTTTATCTTTCATGGAGAACTCAGATCTTCGCATATATAAGAAGAATGAATTCCCTTCGGTTTTCAGGGACCGCATACAGAAAGAAGAATGCCTCTGTGTTTGTTGTGTGGCAGTTTCGGAAGCGCTGGGGGACGGGCCGTCTTTGACTCTTCTTCACACTGCTCTTTGCCTGGATGCTGTATAGGTTCCTCAGCAAAATGATCTGTAAACTTACACAAAGCATTTCATCTTCCGGCAGCAAAAGGAAGAGCCGAGCTTCTGAAGATCAGCCTCCGGGAGGTGGAGCTGGATCCTGACATCCGCCTGGAGGACATCGCGGACAAGATTGAGGGCTATTCCGGTGCCGACATAACTAACGTCTGCAGGTGTGTCTTTGTGACCCGTGACCCAGACGTTAGTTCTGTAGGATGACTAGTCTTTTGTTTGTTTGTTTGTTTGGTTTGGTTTGGTTTTTCGAGACAGGGTTTCTCTGTGTAGATTTGCGCCTTTTCTGGAACTCACTTGGTAGTCCAGGCTGGCCTCCAACTCACAGAGATCCGCCTGCCTCTGCCTCCCAAGTGCTGGGATTAAAGGCGTGCGCCACCACCGCCCAGGGGGTTTCTTCTCGGTTTGTTTTTTTTTTTTGCAGTGTCTCACTGTGTTTTTCTAGCTGGCTGTGTAGACCAGGCTAGCCCCAAACTCATAAAGGTCTGCCTGCTTCTGCTTTCTGGCTACTGGGACTAAATGTGTGCACCACTGCACCTGGCCTTCCCTGGTTTTTTGAGACAGGGTCTCTCAATGGTGTGAGGCTCGCACTAGGATTACAAGCATGTGCCAATATTCCCAGCATTTTGAGGGGTGGTGGGAATTGAACTCGGGTGCTCATGCTCACATAGCCAGCACTGTTCCAACTGAGCCATCTCCCCAGCTCTTGCATTGGTTTTAACTCTTCTAACACTTCAGGATGTGACTCGTGTGAACTTCTGAGTGGCATCCTAAGCGCACATGTAAAACAGCCCTCAGGACGTTTGTCGGAACTTTGTAATAACCGGAAGTGTCGAAAGCGCGTGCAGGTGTGGCTACTGACTGCTCTGCCTGATTCCAGGGATGCGTCTTTGATGGCAATGAGGCGGCGCATCAGCGGCTTGAGTCCAGAAGAGATCAGGGCCCTGTCCAAGGAGGAGCTGCAGATGCCCGTCACCAGAGGGGACTTTGAGCTGGCACTGAAGAAAATTGCCAAGTCGGTCTCGGCTGCGGACTTGGAGAAGTACGAGAAGTGGATGGTTGAGTTTGGATCTGCGTGATTTCTGTCAGCTGTCTCATTTCTGGTGTTCTTGTCTATAAATGTGAAGGAATTCCTTAAATTTAAAAAAAAATCTGCAATTTTTAATCAGAGAAAATTTCACTTAAAGGCCAAAGCAAAACAAAACCGTCTAGAGCTAGAGAGAAATGCAGTTGAGGAATGAGACGCTTATGGAGGCTGCTGGCTTCGTGCTAACAAACCTCATTCTCCCAGAATACGCCAGCCAGGGGGCGGGGCGGGGGCGGGGCGGGGGCGGGGCGGGGCCTGGCTCCCAGGGCATCCGCAAAGTTTTCTTCCTCTCCCTTGCGTTCATTGTCTCTGTTTTCCCCAGTTCTTTGCTCTCTGACCATAAAGGACACACACACACACACACACACACACACACACACACTTTTAACAGCAAAACTTGGTTTCTGTCAAATTCATGAATTGTCATTTTGAGAATGATAGTCAGTTCTGAAGGAAAGAATGAATTTCCAATCCGTAGAATTTAATACTTACTGTTAGTCTAACATGAGTTAGAGTTCTCACTCCTCTCTCTGCCAGTTCTCCTGTTAGCTGCTGGCTCATGTCTATCAAGGACTAGTCTATGATCTATGGTTTTCCCCCGCATACAGTCTGTTTTTTGCTGGTGCCTCTCATACTTCCTTTGGGAAGATGGGAAGCCCTTCCTTTGTTAGCAGCACGTCTTCACCCTGCCGTTTGCTCAAATCAACACAGCGATTGTTTCTTTCCCACTTCTGACACTGTGTGTGAGCTTTTTTGTTGAATTTGACTGTAGTGTTTAAGATAAGTACTCTTGAGTTCAAAACAAGTCTAGTCTCTAGGCTAATGGAAAACAAACATTTTTTTTCTTCTGTACACAAGCATTTTGCTGACATGTCTGCCTTCCACATGCATTGTTGTTCCTGAGCAAGCTAGAAGAGGGCATTGGATCCCCTCGAATTGCAGATACAGGCAGTTGTGAGTGACCATAAGGATGCTGGGAACAGAACCCAGGGCCTCTTCAAGAGCCCTCAGTGCTCCTAACAGCTGAGCCATCTCCCCATCCCACAAATAAAGTCTCTGAAGGTTCTCACACAGCTGGTTTAGCAAAACAGAATCCCAACAGTGAGTAATGCTCATTTAAAAAGTAGAAAGTTTTCCTTCTGAGAACTTGTGCATGCAATGGGAGTAGACTAGACATGGGACATGCTCATCAGACATGGCAGTAGATAGGAGGAAGATCTCCGGAAGGGGGATGCCTGGATCTAGTCACAAGCCCCATGCCTCCCTCGTGTTGGCTCTCTGTAATTAGTCATGCCTCTCTGTTTGGATCACCAGGCAGTTCGTGCTTTCATAGTCAACTTAAAAAGTGTGTCTGTGATATATCCTGAAATCTTGATTCTCAAGCCTGCTGTATTAAAGTATATACATCTTAGAGGCACTTTAAAAAACTCTTAGTATGTTGCTTAAGATATTTGCCCTCTTTTCCTTACTAAAACCTATAAATGCATTATGTTCTTTTCAGGTAACATAAGCCTGATTCTTGAAACTCCTGGAGTCATCTGATTTCTATAAATTGCCCTCTTGCTTCTGAGACACATATAAAATTTTAAATCAAAAGACGTGATTTAATGTAATAGGACTAATTCTTGAAAACTTAGAAGGAGAGACTTATGAGCAAGCTTGCCTTTACTTATCTATCTTGGGGAGGGTCTTACTTGGCTGCCTCAGCTGTCTTCAGCTTTTGGGCTCTGGCGATGTTCCGGTTTCAGCCTCCTCAGTAGCTGGGACTCCAGACCCCCCCAGATTATCTCTAAACATGTAAAAGAAACAACCGATGTAGGAGGCTAAGGCAGGAGGGTCCCTGGGATGGAACCACAAATGTCCTCCACCTGATGAAAGGGTGAGGACAGTGTGACGCAGCCTCTGACTCCCATGGCCCCAGGCCCACGCTCATACAGTCTGAAACCAGCCTGTGTAGCGTGGCACGGCCCTGTCTCAGCAAACAGAAATAAATATTCCCACTCACATTCTCTTGCAGACCATCACCATCTAATAGCGTTGTACTTTAGCAAACAAACAACAAAAACAAAACAAAGCCCTTCTCTGTGGCACTGAGTTGGTAGAACTTTTCCAGATTTTGCATTACTTATCTTTGTATAAACCTAATTTTTCCTGAATTCTTCATGGAAATTGTGCATGACAGTTGTGGTCTATCCTGGGGTAGGTGGTGTGTTGCAGCAGCTTAGTTAGGAGAGTCAGGTGTGCTTCCACAGCTCTCTTTTCTCATTTTTCTGTCAGCGGATGGCAAAGGCTTTGCATGTCTTAAACCCCTGAAAGGATCTGGAAGAGGCCCCTGCAGATGCCTCTCCTCCACTGTCCTGCTGCAGGAGACATGTTGCCCAGCCAGTAGGGATCCAGCAGGGATCCAGTAGGGATGCAGTAGGGATCCAGCAGGGATCCAGTAGGGATTCAGTAGGGATCCAGCAGGGATCCAGTAGGGATGCAGTAGGGATCCAGCAGGGATCCAGTAGGGATGCAGCAGGAATGCAGTAGGGATGCAGTAGGGACCCAGCAGGGATCCAGCAGGGACCCAGCAGGGACCCAGCAGGGATCCAGTAGGGATGCAGCAGGGATCCAGTAGGGATCCAGTAGGGATGCAGTAGGGATCCAGCAGGGATCCAGCAGGGATCCAGTAGGGATGCAGCAGGAATGCAGTAGGGATGCAGTAGGGACCCAGCAGGGATCCAGCAGGGACCCAGCAGGGATCCAGCAGGGATCCAGTAGGGATGCAGCAGGGATCCAGTAGGGATGCAGCAGGAATCCAGTAGGGATGCAGTAGGGATCGCTCTGATGCTTCTCAGTTAGAGGCAGACAGACGTGCCATCCCAGTAGAGGTGGCTGGGTCTGACTCCTTTGGAAGCAGGAGCGGTTGGGACTGCAGCCCAGTGACCAGTGTGTATTGTATGTAGTTGTTTGACAGGAGCTCCAGAGATAGTCCCTTCGTGGGCTCACTGTGCCCGTCACATCTGTGTACAAGATGGCCACTGGAGCCTGTGCCAGTGCAAAGCTGTGTCAGACAGAGAGGCTCTGACTGGACGTTTTCTTCAGTGACTGTCACTCCTGGTTCTGCTGCTAAAGCATGAGTTTAGCTCATGAATGGAGAGACACAGCCGTCTGTGTGTTTAGGGGAGAGAATGTACAAAAAGGGTTGCCCTCTCCTTTTGATTGCTTTTAAAATGAGAAGTTTTAAACAGTATAAAGCTCTTAAAGATCGATTTTAATGCACCCATTTTTATTTTTCCATGCCACAATTACATGGAATTATGATAAGATGTACCCATGTAATGTGTTTGCTGTAAATGTTTTGCTTCCATAATTTTTTTAAAGTAAATTGTATTGGTGAAATATCCCAGACAAATGGCTGGGGAAGCTGCAGCCTTCTGTTACCCAGCTTGGAAAGTCAGTGACGTCACAGCTCTTTCAGCAGTGACCCAGACACACTGGGTTCTGACTCCTGCCATCAGAAATCCTCAGACACTGCAGGGCACCCTGCCATGGGCTCCACAGGAGCACCGTGTTACAGTTATACACATAGCTGCTTGACTTCCGGATAGCTCAGAGAGTGGAGGGTAGTGAACCAGGACCCAGGAGAAGGTAGGCAGGGGCCTGGGCTCTAAGTGAGCAGCCGTCAGGAAGGTCCAGGCAAGGCCGGTTCACAGTGTGAGGTGTTGCTCTTCTATCCTTCTGTGCGCCCCGACTGTGCAGGAATTACTGGGCTCCTTGGGGGTCTGAGTTCAGGAGTCTCCTCCTTTGGAGACGCTGCAGGATCCCGAATCCGCCCGAGCATGGACAGTTGAGCTCCGCCTCGCCCACTTGAGATAGAAGAGCTAGACAGGTCACGTGCACAGTGGGCCTGGCTCGGGCCTCCCTGGTACTGTCTTCTTTGGTCTGCTTCTTCATAGCAGTGCCTGTCCACTGCTGTCTCGTTAAGCATAGGTCACACTGCGGTATGCCCTGTGCTTTGGGACAAAAGGTTAGGAGACTCGGCCTTTTCCAAGAAAAGGTCATTTAACTCTAAGTGTGGGGAAAGAATCAGGAGTAGTCCACCTTTTTTGTGTCTTTGTTTTGTTTCTTAGTGTTTTGAGCGTATAATAGTTTACATTTGTCATGCATATACTATGTATGTGGCTCTTAGAGTCCGTCAAACCGAAGCACATAGGACACATCAGGACGAACTGTAAACCTCAGTGCTTAATTCTCACCGTCACTAGTCATGGTTGTGGTTTGTTTACTTTGTTTAGTTACTACGTGTTTACTTATTTATATTTTTAACTTAGGCTTTTCATATTTATTTAATTTTTGCATCATTTGCTTTTGATATTGTTTCTTAATGTGGGAACTAAGTATTTAAAAAATTAAATCTGTATGATAACATATTTTTACATATTTACTTAGTAATTCTTTGAATTTTTACCAGTTGTTTTTCTTCTGAACACTTTAGTTTGGTGATATTTCTCATTTCAGGTGCCTTGTTAATAAAACCATATTAAGATGATGCTATAAAACTTTTTTTTGCTTTGCTTTTCTCAAACCTTGAGAAAACTAAAAACAAAAGCTAAAACCTGAATATTGGCTTATCACTAGTGGTGTGGTATTGGTTCGTTTGACGCCACAAATGGGGGATTGATGCAGGGACTTCCGCTTTGACTGAGTGAACGAAAAGCCTGCTGTCTCTGCCGTCAGTGAGCTGAGCACACATCACCATCGGGAGGGGAGCCGAGGGCCTCAGTCCCCCTGCTCAGTGTTAGGCACTCAGTTCCCGCCTCTGCAGGTCTGTGTTTTCAGGCACCATCTTCTCCTCCGGTCTGGCCTCCTCCTGTTAACTTTAAATTTTTAAACTAGAATTTTAAAATTTATTATTGTTATTATAATTATTATTTATTTTGAGGCAGGGTCTCGCCATGTAGCCCTGGCTGTCCTGGAACTCCAATGTTGACCAGGCTGACCTTGAACTCACAGAGATCCTCCTGCCTCTGCCTCCCGAGTGCTGGGGTTAAAAGCATGTGCCACATACCCAGTTTAACTTGAATTTTGTTTTTAAACACATTTTGCCATTCCTCCTCTGGCAAAGCCAGGTTCTCCAGTGACCCTCTGGGAAGTGTGAAGCTGCTCTTCCCCTTGTGTGGCCAGCTTCCTTGAATGTGTTTCACACCATGGAGCAGATTCACACATAGCACACGCTCTCCTGCATCTCA